CTGGGCTCGGCTGGATCTGGTCACCAAATTCGGACATATTGAAGCAAGCCACCGGGAGACTCAGAGACATTCAAGAGACTCAGAGATATTCAAGAGACATTCAAGGGCAGTTTTTTAATGGACTGACACATGAGCTCGCGTGACATGTGACAGACGTTAAACACTGAATATCAACGTTAACAATGTGATGAAAGGAAATAGGTATGGAAAAATAATCTCAAATCCACAACTCATCTGTACCTGGAGAATTTCAGTTCTTACCCACAATGCAGTTCAACTGCAGTGATCAAGTGGCATCAGACTTTTTTGTTTAAAGTTGTCATTTTGTAAAGGGTGACATTTTCCTAAGGCACAGGATGAAGGTGCTGTTGATGCAGCATTTTTGTGTTGTCACGCTGCAGCCACCAGGGGCAGTGGTGTTCACTGGGTGTTTTTTAGCAGAGTTCAAAGCTATGCAGTCGCTGATGTGTTATTGTTTATTTACAGATGAAAAGTTTTTTTTTAAATATGAAAACAGAAAACTAAAAGGAATGGAGAGATGGAATGTGACCCAGAGGTTCAGGTCTTTACTGCATTTGAAAAAACAACTGCCTTTCATCGTGGCCACTGAGAGTGAACGCTGGCATGTATGTTGCCGCTGCTTTCCGGGCGTATGTGTTGTTTGTTCCTTTTTTTTTGTTTTTGTTTTATGTACAGTGTCCTTGGGTGACTTGAAAGGCACTTTTAAATAAAATGTATTATTATTATTACTATTATTTAACTTTGTCTTTTCTTCTTTATTCAGGTGGAGGAGCTGCAGTTTGTCAGAGATCAGCTGGTCTTCTCTGTTCTCAGCTCTGAAGTCCAACCCCTCCCATCTGAGGGAACTGGACCTGAATGAAAACAACCTTCATGATTCATCAGTGGAGGTTCTGTGTGGTTTTCTTCAGAGTCCACTCTGTGAACTGCAGACTCTGATGTGAGTTCACTGACTGTTACTGTTGTAAATGTCAAAGTGAAGCTGATTCATCTTCACACTCAGATGAACCACTGATTATTTCCACCACTGCTCCACTGATTTGTTGGTTTTTAATCTGATGAGTGAAGTGTGTTTCCATCAGAATATAATCTGATCTGAACTAAACTAATCTGATCTAATTTCACCTCCATCTTCAACTGTCTCAGTAAAAGTTAAAAAAACATCATTTATACTTCTACTACTGGACTAATCTAATATAATGTAATATTTTTAATCTAATCTAAATTATTTAATCTCACCAGTAAAACTAATAACAACTATATATCTAATTAATCTGCTCTAATCTATAAAAAGGTCCTAACCAACTGAAAATAATATAATTTTATCTGAGCTGATCAGATCATATCTGAATTATAATCTTATCTGTTCTAATCTAATCTAAGACACAAAAATAATTTAGTTGACAAAGCTTCTGCTGCACCAACTGCTAATATATTCTAATCTAATCTCCACCTTTCTGATCCAGTCTACTTTGATCTAGAATCATCTGATTTAAACTGATCTAAAGTAAAATATTATAACCTTTCCAATTTAATTGTATTAAGTCGTAGCTGATCTAATAATAAATATATGTAATGAATGTTTAATAATCCACTAAATTCAAGAAAATCAACTTTTCTCTTTCTCTTTTCTTCTTTATTCAGGTTGGTAGAATGCAATTTGTCAGACATCAGCTGTTCTTCTCTGGTCTCAGCTCTGAAGTCCAACCCCTCCCATCTGAGGGAACTGGACCTGAGGTTTAACCACCTTCAGGATTCATCAGTGGAGGGTCTGTGTGATCTAGTAAAGAGTCCAAACTACAGACTGGAGGATCTGAAGTCAGTATAAAGTGTCATCTTCTCCTCAGTATTGTTCTGACATAACTTTCTTCCTCAGAGTTAAACATTGTGCACTGTGACACTGACCTGTCTCCTCTGGTGTCTGTTGTCTTCTCTCCACAGGTGGAAGTCCAGACCTTGATGAAGATGATCTTCGTTGTCAATGCAGTGGAACCAAATACAAGAAGGAACCTTCAGACCTTCAGGAATGTTCTCTGTGTGAGCATGTATAACCCACCAAAGCACAAATACACCTTTGCCCAGACTCAGACTCAGTTAGTCAAACCATCTCACCCTAATATTCAGACATGATTTTCTGGAGCCTAGAGAGGAGAGCAGTGATGCAGGATTTCTGAGAAACAGTTTGTGACTTTTTTCCTTTCTGTTGTCAATAATTAAAGTCATTATCATTGTATTTTTTCCTCTGGTGTTGGGGCAGAGCATTATGGGAAAGAACACAAAACATTAGACTGTATTTTTTGTCTTGTTAAGAACTGCACAAATGACATATTTACATAAATAATTCTAAATAAAGTAATATATTCTATATCGCAGTTTTTTATTCCAGTCTCGCAGGAGTTTTGCTTTATTGCGTTTTTGTACACTAAATAACTAATAAATAATAATTAAAACATTTCCAATATTTTTATTATTATTGTGAAAAAACATTTTCTAAAAAGACATCGCTGGTAGTTTTGTTTATGAAGAGTAGATCGAACACAGCATTGAGCATGCTCTTCTGTTCCTCACGCTGATTGGCTCTTCTGTTCCTCACGCTGATTGGCTCATGCATCTTAGAATCTCTCAGCATCTCCCAGCATCTCCCCTTGTCTGACCGCCACTACAGTACATTGCTGTAAAGTTTGTGCTCTTGTGTTTGGTGAAAGTTGACCCTAATTTAACGCCCTACGATGCCTCCTAAACCACTGATCATCTTCTCACGCTTCTGTTACGAAGCCCAAAAAAAGATGCTTGAACAGATGACAGTTAACAGCCTTTATTTTTCTTTACAATAATGTCTGCTGAAACACTTGTATACATCATAAACAAATCCATGAATAAATCCATCAAAGACAATCTCTGTTGACTCTTGATTTCTCCTATAAAAAATTTCCACGACAGGGAGAGGTTCGTTAAGGGTAAATATATACGTGAATAATATAATAACTATGTCGCCTCTACTTCGAGGATCACCCCTTTCGTGGCGCGTCTTGGAACGGAAATACCGCGATAGGAGAGGGAAATATATATGGTACACTTTTGATCGATACCTTACTTTGATGACGTCAACTGAATGGAATCAGCCAGGGTTCCGACGTCTGGACAGTAGTTGCTGGTAGCCAAGCAAATCTCCAAATGATGATCAGTAGTGATGTGTCGTTCGCGAGTGATTCGTTCCACATGAACGAATATTTCACATGACTCGTGACTCCCGAGTCATATGAAACATTCACGAATCACTCACAAATCACTCACTGCGACCTAATCACACTCTGCGAACAAATCACTCTCTGCGAACGAATCATTTACAACGAACGAATCTTTCACTGTGAACTAATCTTTCGACTCGTTCATTTTACTGTTCGAGAGTCAAATATTCGAATCATAAAAAGGGTCGGTCTTCCCATCACTAATGATGAGTCATGGTGGAACAGTCTTTGGACTTGATCATCTTTACAGAGATCCGGTAAACTCCACAACGCCAAATAAGTGTGTGGACTACTAAGACTGTGGAGAACCCTGATTTAAAAAAAAAGAACAGGAAAAGCTGGAAGTGATTCTTCTTCAATCTTCTTGTGAGACAAGACTGACTCACATAAAGTAGAGGCAAATAATGCAGTCAAAATGGTTGAACATTTCCTCAGTGTTTGTCAAACTCTGACCAGTGGTGAGCAGGTCGGTTCAGGGGGAGGTTTGTCCCGCATTGTCCCACTCTAACATAACATAACATTTCATTGTCTGGTACCTGATCAACTTGACTAGGGGGCGTCGGATTCTGGAATCCTGTGTAATAGAAGAAGAACGGTTATGTTTTGGAGATATCTATTGGGTGCCAGCATAGGCTGGACCAGATGAGAATGATTCAGTGATGTGCTGTGAGGTTCGTGGCTGGTGAGGCACGATTCCTCTGGAGTCAGATTTATAATTGTAAGAACCGAAAAGAGCATCTTATTTCACTATTCATCCAACAGCATGTACCTGGTAATGTTTTATATCCCGTCAGTATTCCTCTTTTAATTCCACTTATACCAACACAAACATATCCACAGGAACATATTTGTCCTACAAAGAACGTTTCTTTATAGAAATGGATAGAGCACTCTTCTTGTGTCTAAGCAATTCATATTTACTGTAAACAAATTAAAGTATAGAGATGCGTGCAGCACAAGTTTAATTTTGATCTTCAAACGACCCCTTGAGGTGAGGCACAGTATTGCCTGCCTCCCCTGCTGACTTTTCGCTGCAATTTCTTGTACGATCAGCAGGGACAATTGTCTCGCACATACATTAAAGACATTACACAGACTGTAGAGAGCCATACTGTATAACAAATATTTCTGTAAAGTTCATATTGGCGATATACTGAGGAACAGGAACGGGCACGTGTCATGCGAACCAGTTTGTATTGGATAAGAGGCACAGCTCCCTGTATAGTTTTCTGATGACGTCCCCCTACTACCCATAGTTCCGTAGTCCGCCATCTTGCGTTGCAACAGAGCGTATAGTTTTCCGATGACGTCACGCTACTACCCATGGTTCCGTAGTCCGCCATCTTGTGTAACAGCAGAGAGTATGGATAGATATTAAATACACAAAAGAACACCGTCCATCCATCACCTTATCCGATGACGGGTCGCGGGGGCAGCAGTCGCCACCCAAATCACACTGCATCGTACCAACCCCCCTAAACCTCCCTGCGTGTGGTGAGTCCACTGGAAGGTACCAACTGCCTTAACCGGGATATGATCTAGTCACACCAATGACAGAGACATCGCCCCTGGGCCAAAGCGCCACTCAAAAGAACACGGATAATGGTAAATACCTGTGTTGTGTAAGGTTGTATCAAGCGAACTGGGAATGGCGATCGCAAGATCAAGTTTTTTTTACATAAAGCGATCTGTCACCAAGAGAATCTGACGGAGGATATTTCGATAGAAAGGAGAAAGCTATGGTTTATTTGGCTATAAAATTAGCCAAATAAGCCCAGATCTAAGCAAAAGGCATTCTGTTCTGAACACTTTATTTTGGGTAATTACATTATACTTTTATTTAATTCATATGTTCAATGTCAATAAAATTAAAATATATCAAAGTGTACTGTGCATACATGACAAATGCACACAATGCAAACGTAAATCCTCAGCTGACCACAGTCCATATCATTATCAGTATTTTGTATGTACACGTACAATCAAACTATTTTTATTTTAATGAAGTAAAAAATACATATTTTTGTGATTTTGCAAAAAAGTATAATCTAAGCAATAGTAAAACATGATTTTTCATAAACTGTTATTCTAATGATGTTCACAAAAGTCATACATCCGTACATGCCACTGTGATTTTTACATTAGCACGCTGTATTATTTGGGTGTTAATAAATACCACATTATATACATTGTCTGGCTAATTTTCAATGCCTGCCGGCTTCCACTCAGCTTTGTTGACTTTGTATGGGTCTTTTCCATTGATTATTTTCAACTTGTCCAAGTACTGTATCTTGCCTTTGTAATTGTGTCCAGTTAATCTCTATACAAAAATTTCATCTGATCTCCCTCTGGTGATTTAATATTCTTGTCTTTTGTTGTCATGATCGATTGTTTATGTCTACCTATTTGTGTCTTTTGCCAGCCAACATGGCAGACGGCGCGATGCATCATGGGTAATAACGATTATTGGGAAACCATCTAAAACCGTGCTATTTCTCTTAAAGTAGCAGTTATTTTACTTGTGTTACCTTTTAAACTTGTTCTTATAACGACATCTAAATGAACAACAAATATTTCTTACAGTTTGAGATAACATGATATAACGCCACAGCGGTAAAAGATACTCAATTTTAGACTTGATTTAAGTAAAAATACAGAATTACTTCCAGTTATCTTCCGGAAGTTATAGAAGTGACAAAAATAGAAGCATGCATAGATATCAATTAAAACTTTTTGTGACAATGACGTGTCTGAGCCCGCTCTGTGTAGTTAATAGTATCCCGGCTCTGGTATAAACATTGACAGAGAATGATGAAGAAAAATTCTGAAGTGAACAAATGAAAATCTGAACATAAAGAGTCAACAGATAAAAGATAAAATAGAAATAAAAATAAAATTATTTTTTTCCACATGAAATTTAAAATAATTTGAAAGACACAAAAGGAAAATAAAACAGTCCAGAACAGAGGAGCAGCAGCTTCATCTGCATTGAAGTTGGACTTGAATGATGAAGATTTACTCTCACTGTTATCACTTTACTTCACTTTTGACTTTTTATATTTTTACAGCCAGGACTAGAAACAGTTGGGTTGTATCTGCACCTTTTCACAACGTGTTCACAAATATTTGTTAACATCTGCACAATGTTTAACCCTTGTAAGGTCCTTCGGGTCACCTAGACAATATGTCTTTGTGTCTGTTTGTGTGTGTGTGTGTAGGCATACGCATGTACACGCATGCGTATTCATGCACCACAATGGCGTCCAGGTACACTACCACACCTGGGATGCCAGTAAAGATGGTGGTCATAATCTTTTGGAAAGAGTTGGGGGCAGAGCTGAGGCCGAAGTGCATACGGGTGTAACGGAAAACCCCCATGTGAGTCACAAAAGCCGTGAGATTGGAACTGTCTGGGTGTAAGGGAACCTGCAGGTAGTCCTGGCGAAAATCAAGTAAGGATAAAATCCTAGAGCCATGGAATTTGGCAGATAGCACTTCCACTGTGGGTAGTGGATATTTATCGGGGGTCACGGCTTTGTTCACTTGGAGTCAACACAGGGACGCAGGCCGCCACATTTGTTTTTAACCACCACCAGGTTTGAAATCCAGGGTGATGCGTCAACCTGCTCGATGATTCCTGCATCCTGCAGCTCAGCCGTGATGTCATCCCAGAGGGCGAGTGGGAGCCGGCGCAGAGGTTGAATGACAGGGGAGACAGCTGGATCAATGAGTGGCTGGTGGTTGAAGGCAGTGTGGCAACCCAGCCTAGTGAAGAGCTAAGGCTAGCGGTG